TAAAGCTCTACGCAGATGAAATTTTGTTGATGAGATGTGACTAGGTTTTTTCTTGGGTTTAGTTGATGGATTAATGGGTCTTGCATTTAGAAATTTTTGGATTATGATCAGAGAAAGACCAAAGTAAATAGAGGGAAATTAATATATTGGATCGATTTGGATTGGATCGGTTTTCATTAAACAATCCGAAAACCGATCCAATCCAATTAAAAGTTGTAGTTTTTTTCGGTTTTCGATTTTTTGGTTTTCGGTTTATTCGGCTATCGGTTTTTCGGTTCGGTCACCGCGGTTTGAATCGGTTTGGATCGGTTGATGAACACCCCTAAGTGCATACTTCCTCTGACAGATGGAAATGCCCCGCCTAGACTGTGCAACTACGATCCCTAAGAAATATCGAAGTCTGCCAAGATCTTTGGTCTGAAATTGATTGAATAAATGCTCTTTCAACTGATCAATCCCGGTCTGATCACTGCCTGTAATGATAATGTCATCAACATAGACCAGAAGATAAACGCACTGGCCAGAAGAGCTATACCGGTAAAAGACAGAATGATCGGCTTTGCTTCTGATTAAGCCAAAGGATTCAACAACTGAACTAAAGCGGCTAAACCAGGCCTGAGGAGATTGCTTCAGACCATATAAAGATTTCCGAAGTTTACATATCATTCCAGAACTCTCCCCCTGAGCAACAAAACCTGGTGGTTGCTCCATATAAACTTCCTCCTGCAAGTCACCATGTAGAAAAGCATTCTTAATATCAAGTTGGAGAAGGGGCCAGTGATGAATGGCAGCAAGGGCAAGAAACAGACGAACAGAAGCCATCTTAGCAACAGGAGAAAAGGTATCCCCATAATCAAGACCAAAGATCTGTGTGTATCCCTTTGCCACTAAGCGAGCTTTAAGGCGATCAACAGTGCCATCAGGACCAACTTTAACTGTGAACACCCATCGAAAACCAACAACAGGATTCCCGGGAGGAGCACGAACAAGATCCCAAGTGCCATTGGAGTGAAGTGCCTGCATTTCATCAAGCATCGCCTGGCGCCACCCTGGATGAGATAGTGCTTCACCTGTGGTTTTAGGGATGGAAACAGAAGAGAGACTAGAAACAAAAGTAAAATGTTGTGAAGAAAGTCTGTCATAACTCAAGAAAGAATAAAGGGGATGAGGATTTCGAGTGGATCGAATACCTTTCCGAAGGGCAATGGGAGGAGTCTCTGATGGAGGATCCGGAGGAGAAGAGCCGACGGGAAAGGACGATGAGTCATCAAGAGGCAAAGTCGGAGGAGGCGCAGGCTGACGACGCTGGTATGTGAGGAGAGGACGATCTGCAGGTATGGAGTTAATGGGTTGCTCCTCTGGAATAGGGTCACCTGCAGCTAGTAAAGACAAGTCAAGAAAAGGAACAGGAAGGACCTGATCAACCTGTGACACTGGAGACGAAGTAGAGTGAAAAGGCTGCTGATCAAGGAAAGTGACATCAGCAGAAACGATATAACGCTTGAGATCAGGAGAATAGCAACGATAACCTTTTTGAAAACGTGTATACCCAAGGAAAATACATTTGAAGGCCTTGGATGTCAACTTGTCTTTACCTGGAGTAAGATCATGAACAAAACAAGTACAGCCAAAAATATGTAAAGGCAGAGGATAAGAAGGTGTTCCGGAAAACAAAATGCGGTGGGGAACATCATTATTTAGCACAGAAGAGGGCATGCGGTTGATAAGGAAACATGAGGTGATAATAGCATCTGCCCAAAAACGGAGTGGGACGTTCATATGAATGAGAAGGGTACGTGCAGTTTCAACTAGATGTCCATTTTGTTGTGGAGTGTGGGGACAGGTAGTCTAGTGTATCGTCCCATGTGTATCCAGGAATTTAGAAAATTCAAGAGACATATACTCTTTTGCATTATCACTGTGCAAGATTTGAATAGAAGCACCAAATTGAGTTTTTATTTCTGCACAAAAATTTTGATAAATTGAAAATAACTCAGAACGATTTTTCATTAAATGAACCCAAGTGCAACGGGAGAAATCATCAATAAAGGTTACAAAATACTGAAAACCCAAAACTGACATAGTCCGACTCGGACCCCAAATATCAGAATGAACAATAGAAAAGGGAGCAGCAGCTCTCTTATTGACTCTACTAGCAAAGGAAGAGTGAGTATGCTTTCCCTGCTGACAATTCAAAGACTTTAGACCCTACAAAAAAGGAACCATATGCTGAAGCTTCGAGAGACTTGGATGACCCAGACGGCTATGAAGAAGCTCAGGAGACTCTGTGAGAGAGCATGCAACTGGAGCAGAGGGTGCATGCAGATAGTAGAGACCTCGTGACTCATCGCCCGCTCCAATCGTCTTCCCCGTACCCGGATCCTGCATAGAAAAAGACTGTTCAGAAAAGGTGATAGACCAAGAAAGAGAATGGGTCAATTGACTAACAGAAATTAAATTAAAAGGAATGCCAGGGATGTAATAAACAGAGGTTAAAGTCAAGAAGGGAGTTGGTTTGGCTTGCCCAATACCACGAGCAGGAGCCTTGGTGCCATCAGCAAGAGTAACAGAGGGAAGATTATTAGAAAAGGTAAGGGAAGTAAAAAGATCCTTATTACCACAAAGATGATCAGTAGCACCTGAGTCTATTATCCAGGGTCCAAGAGATGATTGAGAAAAACAAGCAACATGATTACCAGTAGCAGGAGTAGGTGGCTGAGAAGAACTCTTCTGGAGAAGGGCCTCATAGTCTGCAGCGGAAATAGTCACTGATCCGGTAGAGGGCGGCACAACATCTGTTTGAGCAAAGTTCATATGTGGTGGCTTCAAGTGAGGGTACTTTCTGTAGCAACGTTCTTCAATGTGGCCTAGATTTTGGCAATAATTACACCGAGGCCTTTGTCCTCGGCCACCCTGTCCATACGACATCTTCTGTCCGCGCCCGCCTGGGCCATATGATGTCATGGGCCCGCGACCGCCCTGTCCGCGGCCACGACCACGACCGCGTCCACCATTGTTCCAATTACCACGAGAGACTAAAGCAGCAGAATCAAACAAAAGAGCAGTAGAGTCAGTAGCTGGCACGTGTGCGGGGGCCACCTTATCTTGAAGATTCAAAAGGCGCTGAAAGGTCTGGGATATGCTGGGAATCTCAGTACTGGTTAGAATGTTCTCACGAACACTTTCTAATCCGTCAGGGAGACCAGAGAGAGTCACAACCGTAAAGAGACGCTCCACTTGCGTCCTGTACACTGTAGCATCCGCAGCATGAGGTAACAGCCAAAAATTCCTGCATCAAAGAACGAATCTTACCAACATAAACTTCCATACGAGCTTCGGGTGATTTGCGCAAATCCATCATCTGGGAGACAATGGAATAAAGTTGCTTAATATCATTGGTGTAGAGGTTTTTGGCTTCCGTCCACACATCATAGCAGGTCTCAAAGGGAATGAAAATATTGAGAAGGGATGAATAAATAGATTGCCAAAGAATACTGAGGAGCTGAGCATCAACTCTCTCCCATTCAGTCATCTGATCTGTGGAAATATCAGTCTTCTTAGTGGTGAGATGTTTGTCATGGCCTTGACCGGTAAACCAGATCTTAACGGAGGTAGACCAGTTCTTGTAAGTGGCAGATCCGGTCAATTTCAGAGTTGTGATAGATGGAATAGCACTTGAAATGATGCCGGAAGGATATTTACTGGTTCCTTCCATCAGGAACAGCGATCACACAACAAAAAAAAACAGTAAAAGTCACTCGAAAAAGGAAAAAGTAGCGACTTTTGCACTGGAACCCCTCGAACGGAAGAGACCCACAACGAACGGGCACCGGATCTGGAAGGAGGAGGCAGAGGCGAGCCTGTCTGCCTTGGTTTGGCCGGAAAAAGTGGTCGGAACAGTGCACACGCGCCGGAGAGAGGTGGCGCGTGGTGACGCGTGAGGCCCACGCGCAGACAGCTTTGGTGGCGCGTGGAGGCGCGTGCGACGGCCGTTTGGGACGGGTCTTGGACAGAAATGGTCGCCGGCGTGAGGGGATCCTGATCGCGTGGTTTCTCGCCGGAAAGGTTTCCGGAACAGTGTTGAACAGTGACGGAACCGTGTTTAAGGCGATGTGAACAGTGTTTTCCGGTCAAATAATGAAGGAGGATGACGATCTGAGATCAAAAAAGGGTCTAACAATGTTCGGAGGGTTGAAAAAAGTTGCCGGTATGACGCACGGCGGTAAAAGGGTTTGCCGGTATGATGCACGGTAGTAAATAAGAAAGGAAAAGATATATATATATATATATGCGGAAGCAGAGCCCTCAGATCGAGAGCTCTGATACCAAATTAAATCTGAAATATATTGTATATTCAAGTGTATGTAATTTGTACAAGGAGGCTCTCTATTTATAGAGACTACAAAATCTAATGGGATGACCTAATGGGCCAAGCCCACAATTTGGACTATTCTAGACTATTCTAATAATAATAAATTAATATTATTTCTAACAATTACATTGTACCTTACTGCATGTAATTGTTCCTCTAATGTTCAGTTATGGTCTATTATGGTTGCTTAGAGTTTCTGTTAGACTTAGTTAGACACTAACACATTTCTGACTCAGCACTTGGTTCTATAAATAGAACCCGATGTATTCACTCTTGTATCTTTTCATTTTCATCAGATTCAGACCAAAGCTATGGCATTCTCTCTTTATATCATTTTTTCTCACTTTCTCTCCCTTTCTATCTTCCTTTACTTGAACTCGATTACTACCACGGCTAATGAGACTAGCATACACCAAGGATCTTAGTAACTATTTCTTCAGACATTATAGACCACGTGAGAAGCATTTTATCTGTGCGCTTCCATTCTGTAAAAGCCGGATTGATTCTCGTTGCAACTTGATCTTCTAACAGAAAACGAAGAGGAATTCGTGAATTGACAAGGAACCTTTCAAGTTGATGCACTATATTGGTGGATCAATATACTGTTTCCATAGCAGAAAATTCTTGTTGGTGAGATTTATTGATAGTTGAGTGTTGAAGATTAAAGGTGATTTTGGATCTGAAATGAGAGAGAAATAGACTAGAAAGGAAGAGAATCAGAGAGAGAACTGAATTTCATATTTTTGTAAATGTAAAAACTAATTGAGAATGGTAGGAAATCAGGAAGGAAATCAGGATTCAAATATTTCCGTTTTTTATTTCCTATTAATTAGGATTGATTATGATTGATTAGTCATCGCTGAGTCATTCTTAGCGATTCTTTCTTGTATAAATACTCCTTATGTAATTTATTCAAATCAATACAAAGAAATACAAAATTCTTTATGGTATCAAGAGCGGGTTCGTTCCTACCCTAAATCAGCTATCTTCAAAGCTGAAATAACCGTCCAAACACCTCCTCAAATCTGTCCAACACAGAAACCTAATCTACAGATCTCCGATCAAGAAAGTGAAGTTTACATTCGACTCAGAAGGCTCCAACGAGTTGACCGCCGCTGAAACCATCGCCGTCAGCCGCCGCACGCGCCGTCACACGCGCGGCCAACCTCCGGCGCGTGAGCTCCACGCGCCACCTTCCCAACGTTTGTTTCCGCCGCGACTTGCACAGACCTTCTCGCTGGCTTCTCCCCTTCCTGTTCCAGAGGTCAGATCAAAAAAAAAATTAAAAAACTTGATTTTTTCATCCACGGTCAAATCCTCTCTCTTCCTTCATCTCTTCAGAGCGTTCTTCTGCTTCCTCACCTGTTCCCAATACTCAGTCCTCTGGAGACAACTTAAGTATGCAGATTACTAATCACCGGTTGAACGGTAAAAAATTTCTGCAATAGTTTCAATCTGTTAAGTTGGTGATCCGGGCAAAAGGAAAGATGGGTTATCTTGATGGAAAAATGAAGAAACCTGCTGAGGGTTCTCCTGATTATGAAAATTGGGAGATTAATAATTCCTTGGTAATGGCATGGTTGACTAATTCCATGGAACCACATATCGGCCAAACCTATTTGTTCTTTGACACTGCCAAGGAGATTTGGGATGCTGTTCAACAAAATTATTCAGATCTTGAGAATACCTCTCAAGTCTTTGAACTAAGAAATAAGTTGAGAGACTTTCGTCAAAGGGGTATGACTATTACTGAATATTTTACTGCACTAACAAATTTATGGCAGGAACTGGATCTTTATTATGCATCCGATCTTAAAGGATTGGAAGCGAATACCCAGTTTAAAAAATACTTGGAGAAGGAACGACTTTATGACTTCCTTGCTGGCCTCAACCGAGATCTTGATGAGGTTCGTGGTCAAATATTGGGGCAACAACCGTTACCCTCACTTGCTAATGTCTTTGCTGAAGTTCGTAGAGAAGCAAGTAGACGGAGAGTTATGCTACGAGAAAATGAGTCAATTGATAAGTCTGATGATATGTCTGCATTGGCTGCCAAACGTACCATTGACCGCTCCTCTGGAGAATCAAAACGTGACGGTCGTCCATGGTGCACCCACTGCAATAAAATTGGTCATACCCGTGAGAAATGTTGGAAAATCCACGGGAAACCTGCAAATTGGAAGCCAAAAGGACCGAATAAAGGTCGTGCGTATCAGGTCTCTACTGATGACAAGGTTGATGAGCCTCATGCATCCTCTGACTCTGATGGTGTCTTTCTTAGCAAAACTCAGTTTGAACAACTTCAGAAACTTCTGACTCAACCTCATAAGGCCACTAGTAATGTGGCCCAGCAAGGTACAGCTTTTAATGTTGATAGTCAAAATCATTGGATCCTTGATTCTGGAGCCTCTGACCATATGACAGGTAATCCGAGCTTGTTCTGTCCATACACTCCATACTCTGAACCCTCTCGGGTCAAGATCGCCGATGGCAGTTTTTCCCAGATTGCAGGACACGGAACTATTAAACTTTCTGAGCTGATTAATTTAACATCAGTTCTTTATGTTCCTTCTTTGGCTTGTAATCTCATTTCCATAAGCAAGTTGACTTCCGAGTTGCATTGTTTTGCTAAATTCTTTCCTCATGGTTGTCTTTCAGGAATAGGACTCGGAGAAGATGATTGGCAGTGCTAGAGAGGATGGTGGACTTTACTACTTTGAGGAGGATGTGACTCATGGAGCTGTTTTTGTGGAAAAAGACTCTATGTTTCCTTTTGATTCATGTAATGATGTTATGCTGTGGCATCGTAGGCTAGGCCATCCAAATTTTAACTATCTTCAGAAGTTGTTACCAAACTTATTTATTAATAAAAGTCCTAGTTTGTTTTCTTGTGATATTTTGTCAATTTGCCAAGCATACTCGTGTTCATTATCCTTCTAAAGTTCACCATGATTCTTCCCCATTTTTTTTAATTCATAGTGACATATGGGGTCCAGCCCGTGTAAAGAATATTTCAGGTGCTAGATGGTTCATTACCTTCATTGATGACCATTCCCGAGTTTGTTGGGTATACCTTCTAAAGGACAAGTCAGATGTTGCATCCACTGTTAAAAGGTTTCATGCCATGGTTCAAACCCAATTCCAAGTTGCTATACAAATTCTGCGTACAGATAATGGCAAAGAGTATTTTAACTCTATTCTTGGAGAATATCTTTCCCAACATGGCATCCTTCGCCAAAGCTCATGTCCTGACACACCCCAACAAAACGGAGTTGCGGAAAGAAAAAACCGACATCTCCTTGAAGTTGCTCAGGCTCTTATGTTCACTATGAGTGTTCCTAAATATCTTTGGGGGGAAGCTGTTCTCACTGCCTCATATCTGATCAATCGAATGCCATCTCACATTCTCAAATTTCAGTCTCCTCTTTTTACTCTTTTCCGCACCTTCTCTTCCTTCCGAGGCGTCTCTTCCCTACCTCTCAAGTTATTTGGTTGTGTTGTATTTGTCCATATTCCCTCTCATCAACGGTCTAAGCTTGATCCTAAGTCTCTCCGGTGTGTCTTTGTTGATTATTCTCCTACTCAACGTGGCTATAAGTGTTATTCTCCTTCTCTTCGTAAGGTCTTTGTCTCTATGAATGTCACATTTTCTGAGACTCAACCTTTCTTTCCCTTGACTTCTCTTCAGGGGGAGTCTATGGGAGCAGATGAAGATCAGTCATGGGAACCTACTGATGCCACAGTATTACCTCTACTATTGGAAACAGGGGGAGCTACAAAATCCTCACCATCCGGAGCCTCCTCAAAGTGAGGACAAGTTTATAGCAGGCGAAAGCCTCCTCAAAGTGTAAATAACCCAGAGCCTCTACATTGCCAGGATTCTGAACCATGTTCTAGTTCCAGCACCCCAACACTTGAGTGCCATGATAACAATGATCTACACTTGCCTATTGCTCTCAGGAAAGGTACTCGATCTTGTACTACTCATCCTATTTCTAATCATATTTCATATGAAAAGTTGTCCCCAGGGTTCCGTGCTTTCAATACTATGTTGGATAGTACAAAGATACCGAGAAATATACATGAGGCTCTCAATGATCAAAAATGGAGGGATGTTGTCTTTGAAGAAATGAGTGCTTTAGAAAGAAATGAAACTTGGGAGATAGTGACCCTACCAAAGTGAAAACAAGCAGTGGGATGCAAATAGGTGTTTACAATAAAATTCAATGCAGAAAATAGCATCAACAGATACAAGGCAAGATTGGTTGCAAAGGGATTCACGCAAACTCATGGGATAGATTATCATGAGACTTTTGCTCCAGTTGCTAAAGTCAATACCATCCGAGTTCTCTTATCACTTGCTGCCAACCTAGATTGGCCTCTGCAACAGTTGGATGTGAAGAATGCATTTCTAAATGGTGACTTACATGAAGAAGTCTATATGGATCCTCCACCTGGTTTTGAAAAGGGAAATGGATCAGTGTGTAAACTAAAAAAATCTCTATATGGGTTGAAGCAGTCTCCTAGAGAATGGTTTGACAAATTCACACAAGCTGTCAAAAGAAGAGGCTTCATTCAAGCACAGACTGATCACACTCTCTTCCACAAACACTCTTAAGGATGGTAAAATTGCTATTCTTATTGTGTACGTAGATGACATAGTTCTTACAGGTGACGATATTGAGGAATTGAACTCCTTGAAGAAGTATCTAGCAGCTCAGTTTGAATTAAAGGATCTTGGCACTCTCAAATATTTTCTTGGTATGGAAGTTGCTAGGAGCAAAACAGGTATCACTCTCACACAAAAGAAATATGTTCTAGATCTTTTGGTGGAAACTGGAATGTTAGGGTGTAAGCCTGCTGAGACACCTGTGGAACCTAATACCAAGTTAGGTATTGAAGATGGGAATGAGGTGGATAAAGAACAATATCAGAGATTGGTTGGCAAACTAATTTACTTGTCTCACGCGTCCTGACATTGCCTTTGCGGTGAGTATGATTAGTCAGTTCATGCACTCACCCAAGGAGAAGCATCTTAGTGCAGTCTATAGGGTGCTCAGATACCTCAAGAACACTCCAGGAAGAGGATTATTCTTTAAAAAGGGGTATAAAAGGACAATTGAAGTCTACACTGATGCAGATTGGGCAGGCTCATCAGTAGACAGGAGATCTACCTCAGGCTATTGCTCCTATGTTTGGGGAAATCTTGTTACTTGGAGAAGCAAAAAAAACAAACGGTGGTTGCAAGAAGTAGTGCTGAAGCAGAATTTCGAGCTTTAGCTCATGGAGTTTGTGAAGGAATCTGGTTGAGAAGACTTCTTCAAGAGTTGAAGATTTCATATTCCCTACAATAAAACTATATTGTGACAACAAGGCAGCTGTCAGCATTGCTCAAAATCCTGTGCATCATGATCGAACAAAGCACGTGGAAGTTGATCGCCACTTCATCAAAGAAAAATTAGATGATGGAAGTGTGCGTATGATGTATGTTCCTACCAAAGAGCAGACTGCAGATATCCTTACAAAGGGCCTACACCGTCCAGCATTCGAAGACTTGATTGGCAAGTTGGGAATGATCAATATTTACCTCCCAACTTGAGGGGGAGTGTAGGAAATCAGGAAGGAAATCAGGATTCAAATATTTCCGTTTTTTATTTCCTATTAATTAGGATTGATTATGATTGATTGATTAGGATTGATTAGTCATCGCTGAGTCATTCTTAGCGATTCTTTCTTGTATAAATACTCCTTATGTAATTTATTCAAATCAATACAAAGAAATACAAAATTCTTTAAGAATATACACAAGGATCTATTTATAGACCTGCTAACAGAAGGCTTACACAATATGCTAACAGCCTAACTGAATCTAGTCAGTTACAACAGATGCAACGAATTCCATAAGATACGGAACTAACTAACTGATCAGATACTCTAATAGATCTAAGGATGAAGCAGATGTAGAATCAGTTGAATTGGCTGAAACGGAAGCCATAGATAGAACAAGGTACGGATCAAGGCCCCAAAATGGAGCTTTGATACCATAAAAGAATCAGACAAAAGTGAGAGAAAGGAAAGGAAAGTTGAGAGAATCAGAGAGAGCTCAATACTGCTAAAGAAGTGTTATTAAAATACACTTCAGAACTGAATCTCAGACTGAAATATATAGCCAAGCTAAAGCCTCTTCTTAGAGAGCAGGTACAACCATCAGTAACTGCACTAACAAACTAATCTATAACTGACTAAAATCAATAGTATAGGTGACAGCACCAGATAGCTGTATCATAATACACACAGAATATCTAAGTCATGATTACATTTGAAACATATTCTAATAAAGTTATGAAACTTGGCAACAACCTTCTGTGGTAGATGTCACTACACACCCGAAGCATGTAGTTCTTTTAAATGGAAACAATGATAGTTGTTTCAATGGACAAAGTCTAAGCTTTCACTGCAACTTCGACAATAATTTCAAACCTTCCAAGATCAGCATCTTTTTAAAAAGGTATGATTTAAAAATTGCCAAAAAATTCTATATACTTACCAACACAACTTCAATCACAAGGAATCAATATGCACACATTACTCCCCCCATCAATGACACAAAGGTACTTCCATTAAGAAAGAAAGAAAATCCTTTTTCTACACATTTATGAAATCAAATGGCCAGTACGTTAGACAACTTATATGTAGACTAGAACTACATAAGGCAGTTTAGCATTTTAATCCATCGAGAACCCAATTACCCTAGACTTTTCCTTTATGCCCCAGATGACAGCATAGTTTCCTATTCAGATGATGGATCCTTCAGCCCAAAAAATGAACAATTATAAAACTCATATCATGCTCTATCCATGGGAATTCAATAAAATCCTGGAGAAAACTTAATATAGTGAAGAATGGCCAATAGCAAAGATACAACTGGACCTTATGGCCTCATTGGCGGAGCTTATGTTTCTGACAGTAGCATCCAACAAGCTTTCACGAAAGTTGAAATGGGGATTTGCATCAAGCAAAGTACAAATACAACGAACTGCTAAATGCTGAAATAAAGACTGCTTTTCTAAGGCTATCAGCCTTTGCAGGTACGCCTGCAACATGCATAAACAGTAGCAAAGGAACAAAAAACATCTTAGTGGCACAAATATTAAATGATATTCATATTTTATAATAATTTCAAACAAGTTATCATAGAAATTTTGGGGAAAGTTGGTTCAAGAACAATGCAACAAGCACTAATGCAAGCACTGGAACTGGAAGTCATATCTGTCAGTAAAACTTTCTGTTGACTAAATCAAGTAATAATAGTAAATTAGATACCAGTCAAGCATAAATATGAACCTTGTATGCAGAAAGAAGAGTTGATTCAAAATAACGCATCTTTCTAACAGTCTTTGAAACCTTCATTTCTAGTTCCTTTTCAGTAGGAAGCCTGATCCGATAGCTGTCACATCACATGCATTAATGAGAAAGTTGGAACATTAAATATAGAATTAGTGTGGAACCAAACCAAATGCAGATTATCCTAACATAATAATTACATATAAAATGTGCATTGTAATATATAACTATCAGGCATACCCAGGGACAATATCTTTGAAAACAGCCAAGAGGGACAGAAGTCCAAGTTTAACAATGGTATGATCATTATCTTTAGATATCTGTATAATCTCCTTCAGAAACTTAATATTGGACTCTGGGTCTGTAAGTAACGCATCTCCCAACTCTGCAAGTTTACACTTCTTATTTTCAAAGGCCTCCTCGGCTGTAAGATCTTCTTTTACCTCGGCCTAAACAAAGAAAAGATAATATACCAAAAATTATGCACAACATTGAGTTCAATGATTTCTAGTCCTGTCTAAAAGGTGGCAGTTGAAGAGAATATATAAAATTTACAATTAATATGAAAAGAATAACTTTTTTTTAATGGACAAATTTGTAAGTGATGATATAACAATTAGAAATAGCAAAACAGAAAGACAAAGATTGAATAGATGAAAAATATCAGAAAATTAAATCATCAAATTTACAGTTAAAATACATGTGTGACACATGTTTCATCACAACACTCATAAAACAATTGCATGCAAGCAATTAAAAACTATTTTACTTTTAGAGCATTCCATTTGCTTCTTTTTTAAAAAAATTAAAAATAAATAAAGCATACCATTGTAAAATTGATACAGTATCAGAATAAAAAAATAAAGGAGCTTTCAAACAATAAAAAGGAGTATAAATAATATTGTTAATCTGATTGAACAATACCAGTACTGCTGCTTGTGGAGTTTCTTCCACTTCTGCTTTTACTGTCTCTTTTCCCAGTTTTTTTCCCTCTTTTTTCATTTTCTTAAGTTTAGCTCTCCTTTCAGCCTTAGTTAACTTCACTAGACCATTGTCTGCGTTGCCATCCTCTCCAGTTTCCTCTTCACTTGGACCATTTTCTGATACTGTCTTTGTAGCTGTACAATGTGAGAACAGCGTCTGTTACCAAAGCAATTAACAAAAAGAAAGAAAAGAGTGATCAAGTGATCACAACGCACAAATTTTATACAAGAGAACACTAGATACCTGTCCGGTAATAGAGTTTTCCATCCAAGGTCTTGATTGGAAGAGCATCTACACGATCAACCTGCAGACCCGTTTCTTCTTTTTCTTTCTTGAGAGCAATCTTACGCAAGCGTTTCTCATGAAATTTCTCCAATGCATCATCTTTGGCATCAGCAACACGAGAAACATGCCTTAGGATACACAAGAAAGTTATATACTAAGTAACCTCATCACATAAAACTCATGACAATGTGCAATCACACAAGCTAAACTTTTGTAATTTAGAAGAGAATTCGACACTATATAAGTGACGGGAAGGAAATAACAACCATGCTAAACGTCAGCCTCCAACATTCAAAAATTGCAGGCTCAAAAAGATTGTCACAAAACGGAAAAACTAACCAAAATGTTATAAATTAAAAAAAAAAGACATTGCATTGCCAATCTAAAGCTTATCGCAATGGAAATTTCTGAGTGATAAGTCTGCAAAAAATTCCCATTTTTTATTATAAATTGTGAGATTAAAAAAATTCCAAAACCTTGAACTATCATGCAGCTAAAACGGTCAAAGCTGACAACCAAAATGGATAGGCCAAGTTTCTCAACTCTAATATAATTTTCACTGCCTACGAAAGCTTTTCAAGTGAAAAAAAATCTGCAAATTTTATATTATTTTCCTATTAACAAATTTTTGACAAAAAATTCCAAAAACTTTCAGAAACAAGGGTGCTTACTGAATGATTTACGCAATAAGTAGCATAGCAATAAAGGGGATTATAGAACATAAAAAACAAGTCACAGATTAGAAATGGGGTTGGAAGAAAGATTCGAACTTGGTAATTGATTGAGTGTCCAAGCTGGAAAGCAAGGAGGCATAGCCACGGTTCTCCTTGACGAATTGAAGGTCATCGTCAGAAACCTCAACTTCGTCGTCCGGGATCTCCGGTGGGAGCTCCGGCGGAAGAACGATCTTCAGCTTCTTCCCCATCGATCACTTTTGTTGGAGAGATAAAAAAGGGGTTTGTTAGGGTTTATTGTTTGACTCCGATTTGAATTTGTTAGGGTTTATTGTTAATAGGGTTTCTAAGGAAGAAAACGGGGACCCAACTAGTCAAATTTCCCTATTTTGCTATCGTTTTATCTTTTTCTAATGAGTTTTATAATTTTGATTTTTTAATTATGTTATTATTTTTAAAATGTTATTATAAGCTTTTTAGCCTGGTTATACTTACACCAATTTACAATTATTTTTATTTTTGTCGAGATTAAAATCAGATCATGGTTATAAAATATGATCAAATGAGAATTATTGATTTAATTTTGATCTAACGATAATAAAATAATTATAAAAGGTTATAAGAAAAAAATTTGTAAATATAACTTATGTTTAAATTTTTATCTGCAAGTTTAATTTTTTACAAAATTTTAAAAATAAAGAGGCTAAGATATTTATAATTGGGTCGCTATGATTTTAAAATTTTCTCATTATTTGCAATTATTAAAATATTGTTGATGTATATACTTCATACTTCATAGCACTTTAATTGTGAGTAGAAATGTTGATCACTAAATCGAATAGATCTAAATAGAAAACTAAAAAATATATTATTAAGCTATCTTTATTTTTATTTTGCATCTTTAGAAACCAATAAATGTAGTTCGGTTTTCGATTTATATTTATGAAACTGAATCAAATAATACGAAACCAATACAATTTACTTATTTATAAATGATTATCTCTCAACTCATGACTCTTGCTGTAAATCCACTATACCTTTGTCTACATTGCCATCCTCTCCAGTAACCTCTTCACTTTTACTATTTTCCGAAAACGTCTTTGTACAACCTCTGTTATCAAAGCAATTAACACGAATGAAAAAAAGTGATAAAGGGTTTGTTTGAAATCTGTTCTGAAAAATAGTTTTATAATTTTCAGAATAAAAAAAAGGTTTATTTTTTCTGAAATTACTTTAGATAACTTTATCTAATGTTCACCAAAACGATTCATTTTGAGACGAAAATCATGATATTTTTGTAATTTTAATTTATTTCAGGGTAATAATAGTCTTTATCATTCTAATTTTTTTATTTTTCAACCCTAAAACGACGTCGTTTCAATGAACATTAGACAAAGTTATCTAAAGTAACATTAGATACTTTTTTCCTAAAAAAAATTGTTTAATAAAATCTGTTTTGTAAAAAAAAATAAAAAAATTGTAACTGTTTTTTTTTTAGAATCAAATTTAGATAACACATTTGAGTTTTTTTTATTTTGTGTTTTGACTTTTAACTTTTAAAAAAAACATAGAAAACACATATTTCAATAACTATTCTACAAAATAGATTTAAAAACAAAAAAATCAGAACACAATCAAACACATCTTAAGTGATCACAACGTTGTAATTGGTCTTCTGTGATGTCCGTTTTAGGTGGGATGTGGTGGGTGGCGGAGGCATGTTAAGTGTATTATCATAGGAAGTGAATCATATGATGTTAAAATTTCATATGACTTTTGTGTATATATCTCTCTTCACATGCATTAAATAAGTTGGGTCCAATTATCATTAGTGAAGAAAGAGATAGACACAAAAATGTCATGTGAAATTTTAATATGAAAGAATTCATTTACATTATCATACCATGTAAAATATTGTTACCAACAAAGCCCAGCACAGTTGGTAGATGGCTAGGTCCCTTAAGCATATTGTCAAAGGTTCAATTCCTGGTCGTGTGTATGAAAAAAGCTTTGTTGGTAGAAGCAAAACTCACTTCGGTGATCTCTAGGCCTCGAAAGGATTAGTCTTCGACTATCAGCCGCGAGATACCTCGAGGAAACTCAAAAAAAAAAATTGTTATTCACCATTATTAACATTTACTCCAAACATGTATCTTGGTAGACAAATTATATGTGTATGCATATAACTCTGCTAAAAATTTAGATCTACGGTAAGAAATTATTAAGTTTTTCGCAATGTTATTAGACACGGCTCATACCGGCTGGGTCGACCCGAAACCCGATGAATCGGTCATCTAATCGATTCGAGTCAAGTATCGAACCGACCATGTATTAGACTCGGTGAAAATCGATTCCAACCAGCCGAGTTTTATCAAAATCGATGACCCAATCGGGTCATCAAAATCGACGGATCATGCATTTTTATAAAACAAAAACAAAAACAAAAACAAAAATCAAAGTTGTCTCATCTTGTCTTAAAAAAGTGCGGAACTCCTTTAAAAAAAATTGTAGTTTTGTTTGCTCGTAATATACTCTCCTAAAGCGACCTTAATTAAGCTTCAAAGACCAAAGCAATTTGTGGAACAGTAGATTAAAAGAATGTGACATGTTGATTCCTAACAAATCCAATTTTATAAGAAAAGTTGTTGATAAATGCCTTATAATTATTAAATATGGTTAGCTGAGGATATTTGATAGAGATATTATATGTGGTTGTGTAATACTTGAATTTTCTTTTTTCTTTATTTATTTCTTTATTTATTTCTTTTACAATATATTATATGTGGTTACCATATATGACTTTCTTTAATCCCTACAAAAATTATATATGTTTCAGCCCTGCATAATAATTTTTTACATGTGTTTGAGTATTTTTATTCATTTTTATGTATAAAATATAGGTTTTTATATACTAACCATGTCATGCAGTTCAATCGGCGATCCTGCATGTTCTTTAGCCAGTAGGATCTTGACACACATGACATGATTATATGCTGCATTGCACTGATTTTGGAACTTATATTATACTGCTTTTGAACTTATATTGCACGTGTAAGTGATTTTGGGGTGGAGAGATCCTTGAGGACCCCTTGTCTTACTGAGATTTCTTTTTAGAGATCTCACCCCACGTTTGGGGCACATTTTCAGGTTCAGGTACCTCGGGGGCTGGTACCTCGGGCGCCAGAAGGTCGGAACTTAGTTGACTGATTGATGCATGCTATTTTTACTTATATGTCTGGTTGCTGACTATGCTATACCTTCATTATATTGTTATCTTTGCTGAGACTTTGTTGGGCTTTCTTGCCTTATTTGGTGAGCATGGGGTTGTCCATGCCACAATGATGTTAGTTATGCTTTTAGATTGAGTTGTATAATTGTATCAGGATATTGTCTGGTCTACGTGTTGTAGTTCCGTGACTAGATACACACTTAATTATATTATGAGGTTATTCAGTGTAGTTAGTTATTTAATTGAAATTTACATACAGGTAATATTTTGAAAAAGGATTAAGTAATCAACTTGGTTAATATTAATGACGTCATAATTGAAAAGAAAAAGTTAGCTTCCGCATTTTAATTAAGCAGCGCTTAATACGATGATATGATAACAAACCGGGTATACACGGGGTGTTCCTATACAAATCATCATCATAATGCATATATAAAATAAAAGCCTTCACAAGCCTACTCAGGTCTCTTGCCCAAAGATGCTCTAGTACCATCAATAGTACTTGAAATATATTCCCCATATGGGATGAGATAACAATCTCAATAAACCAAGGGTCCTTGAAGATCACTCCACTTATAGGTTCACTCAATGTGCATATACAATATCAATAGAATAGTATAACATCCATCACTATTTTCACTGTAACTACCAAGAGACCGCCTCAAGGGACTATTTCTCTCAGGTGTTCATCCTCCTTAACTTCCTCAAGGGACTATTTTCAGGGGAAGCCCCAACATTCATGCATTTCTACTGGCCAGATAATTATATATACATAACACATCATACATATGGATATCACACCCAATCAATGCATGATCATACTATTAACTATGACTATCATACATCACATCATTCAACTATTCCTCCCCAACTGAGCATGATGGAGCACACAAGGGAATTAACCCTGAGATCTAGAAGTTTACTTTAAGTAGACTTCCTTCTTGCCAAGCTTTCTTGTCACACAAGTAAGCCAATCAACCACACTTTATACAACAAAATCACCTATACAAAGGTCACAATTTCAATTAACACAATGCATTCAACCAAAGCCATTAACATAATGTATCCCACATACAAGAGTGCATATTCAAGGACTTACCGAATTCTTGATTTCTCAAGAACCAAAGGTTTTACCACAAGCTTAGGCCAATACTTGTTCCTCCATCAAGCACTCACTTGGCTTCAAACTACACAACCAACAATCTACAATTAACTTGTCATTACAAGTCTCACAATTACATGAATTTTAACACTTATCTATGCCATATTTTTAATCATTTACAAAAATGATACTTGTGGTTGTTTAATCAATTTTCCACCAATTAAATCCATTCATTATCACTTCTCTCAACATAAACCATGTCCAATTCAAGTCATAGCATCACCATTAATATACTATTTTTATCCATGAACATCAAACTTCCAACACATTTATATGTCATTTTATCAAAGTAGTCCAACTACCCATTTCTTTGGTTTTCCTTCAACAAGAGGCAATTCTAAGCTTATTAATCAAGAGAATTCATACCAAAATAATCATCTAACTACTTATGTCATGAAAATTTGTGGTTACTATTCATCAAACCCTAGGTTTGTCCAAAATCTTTGAAAAAATGAAATGAGTAGAGAAATCTTACCATAATCAACCTTAGCATGGAGAAAAAGGAGTTTCCCAAGCATCCCCCAACTACAACATCCTCAAATTCAAAAATTACTCTTGCCTTTGAAGGTGTATATCTCTCAACCTAATGCTCCTTACAAGAGAATGGTTGGTAGGCTTTAATAAGGATAGAAATCTAAACCACTTTGTAGTTCACATACTTTGATTTCATGGATTCATGTGAAAATTCCATTTTTCCAAGCTCTCTTTCCTCTTTTCAATGGTGATTTTCGGTCAATATGAGGGATGGAGAGTTGTGAGGTGAGAGAGAGTCACTTAAGTTAATTTTTAACATTTCACGCGTCTGCTCGCTAGGCTGATCGCTTCAGCAAGCTTTAACCCGCAAGCAAGCCCCCTGCTCGCTTCAGCGAGCAATAAGCTGACCTTATTTTCACTTATCTTTCCCATTTCCTTTCAAGCCAACCCTTAGCATTA